AACAGTTTGTTCCTTTGTATTTAGGAATGACTGGTATGTGTCAGCCAAAGACAGAGATACTTTGAGAGTGGAAATTCTGCAGTCCTTCCATAGATGATACGTATCAGGCATGTTGAAAACACTTTTACTAACTGCAACCTCAGGCTGATGTCAACGTGTTTGTCAGTGAATGACAAGCAAATTGGGTGTGACTGCCTTGGCATGGATATTAAGAACACACACAGCACAGTCATCTGAAATAACAGCAAAACTGAACGCGCTTAACAGGAGACCGTTGTGGGTTGTTTCGTCCCTGACCTGTAATTTTGATATCTGTCCTTGCTGTGTGTAGATACATGGGAAAGGGTATGGGGACGTTACGGATGAGATGGAGGTAATGAGGGCGGGGATGGGATGGGTTGGTTCTGTGTTAAAGAGGTTGTTTGACTTGCAAAGCAGGCCTGGGTGCTCTCGCACTGGGCTTTGAGAGAGGGCCCTTCCCTGGAAGTGGAGCACCAGGGACACGGACAGCTGCTGCGCTGCTTTGTGCCGGGTTGCGGGCCTTGTCACCCACAGGCATGAATTAGTGATAAGGAATGTTTCAAGCCATGAGGAGGTGTTGGGATCAGGTTTGTTGCACTGTGTTTCCTCTTTCTTAGTCTTCTTTGCGGGGTTATTCGGGGACAGGTGGCTCCTGCATGCAGAGTAGTCCCTCCATGCTTAGTTGGCACTGAATGGCATTTGTGCGTGTGTGTTTGTATGTGTGTGTTTTATCTCCTCTCAGCTCAGCGTCTTTACCCCACAAAGCCGTGACCCAAGGGTCAGCTATATGTACGGGGGATAACGCGCTACGCAAGCTTGTAGCAAAGCCTGGGGTAGTGCAGGTGCTGTGTGTGTGTTAGAGAAAAGCAGGTTGGCTCGGGTCTGGATGGGCTCACAGAGATCTATTTCCTCCTGTGAAGGACGTGACCAGTAGCCATGCGGTTGCCCTTTGTCTTGCTCTTTCTTCCATCTCCATCTCACTATGCTCTGTCTTCCCTTCTCCCTCCTGTGCCGTCTCTCTTTGTCTTTGCCCTCCCTCCCTCAGCATATTCAGATGAGGGCTTGGATAATAAAATTTGCTCGTGCCATGTCTGACAGTCCTGTTTTATCGCAGCATAGTGAAAGACATTGGCAGTGTTTGCAGAGGCTTTGTGGTCAGCTGCCCATCAAAACTTAATTGAGTTAAGGGAGACGTACAGTAAGGAGAGAGAAACGGTGGAGCCGTCGAAACATTTCATCATTAATCAAACAAAGCAGTACTCTGTGACCTGATATTTGAATGTACAAACTTTTATCTTTATCATAATGTGTTGCTTAAATGAAAACAATCATTGACCCATTTAGAGGATCGTGATAAGTTTGAGCTCTCCTCCTCTCCTGCCTGCCTCCTTACAGAAGTCTTTTTTTAAAGCCTTTACCTAACTCTCACCTGTGGGCAGAGCTGACATGTTGCCAGATCTCAAGGTGTGGAGACAGATAGGAGTTGCTCTTTACAAAGGAGAGAAAAGGGAGAGGTGAACACAGGTGAACAGGAAGGAGAGAGGAGAGGCAGCCAGGTTAGGCAGGTTTGGTAGTGGGGTGTAGCGTACAAACATACCAGGAAGGCTGATATGAAGGAATGTCATTTGAACTCCTTGCTCTTGTAGAGAGCAACACACTCAATGCATCCTCCAACCCCCCCTCTCACCCCCTGCTAGGTCTCCCTGGCAGATGGAGAAGGGGGGGTGGATGTCCTATATGTGCGTTTATGTGTGTGTGTTTTAGCCGTTATTGATGTCTCTGGGATGTTACAGTATTTGCTTGTGTGTGTGTTAATAGAGAAATTGAGGATGGCTTGTTCTGCTGAAACCCCCCTCCCACTGCGCAGGCTTCAGTCGATCATTTTAATCTCCCCCCCACACGTGAGCGAGGGGACAGCCTTTCCTGAAACTTGGCACACAGTACAGGGTGGGGTAACCAGCTCAGACCGGATTGACAACCTCCCTTTTTAATACTGTTCCCTCGCAGCTTGTTGCGTGTCCTCTTCCTCCTCCTGTGGAGTTTTTCCACAGGGTCTGCTCTGGCAGCCCCCCTCCCTCCCTCCCTCCCCCCATTTTCCTCCACCTCTCTCGCCTCCCCTCCCCAGCTCTCGACTGACACAGAGTGAACAAGCTGCACAGTCCAGCTCCCAGCATGCACTCTGATCCTCGCTGCCCTCTGCCTATCTGTCCTCCACGACCTCTTACTTGGTTTCTTGCACGAGTGCATGCTCACACACCCATAGATGTAGGCGTGTTTACAAGGAAACATCCACCTGCACACACATATAATGCATAAACATCTCCACTTAGTCATTCACCCACTCATGGTGTTTAAGCAGGCACAAAGGCTGGCCAAAGGCTTTCAGAATTATTGTTCGCCACTATTTAGTCAGTGCCACTCACTTATTGCACATTGCCCTATGTCTGCTCTTGTATTAAATATGTAAATACACCTGTTGTGTCAATGGATTTGCTTAAAAATCAATTCCAAGCAGATGTGATGTGTAACACTGTGGTGTTACTCTGTGGCTTCTCTCCAGTTACTTTGGACAGTCGCTCAATGCTCAAGCAAAAACAAGTGAAATGTTTCAATTGGCTGTTTTTGCTAGTATTATTTTTGGAGCTTGTTGCGTTACATAAAAGATTATTTACTGCATTAAACATATGCAGCAAATGTAAAGCCTTCACTGTGAAGTTCAGTCTCAGGTCAGGCACTCATAGAACACAAAATGACTTTCATAACTTTAATTAGTCCTTGTGGGGAATAAGGAACACGTCATAGTGAAGGGTTTTGATATGGATGGCTCTGGTTAAAAAACAGATATGTTCATGAAACTGTCAACGTGTCGATGTGAAAAATCAGTAGAGATGTTTTTGCATTGCCAAGGTACTAATGAATAAAGATGACTCGTTTGAGTGAATCATTTCAGATTTTTTTTTAGTGACAGAAAAAGTCAGTACACAGTTTACTCGGATGAAGGTCATAAACATTCAGCAGTGTTACTTAACTGGTGGCCCATGGGCCGAATCTGGCCCGTGATAGGGTGTCAGGTGGCCCGACGGCCATTCTCTAATTCACAATGAAAATATTTTGATTTATACTGGGATTTTTTTTGCGCTTAGAATGTAAATAAGGTTCCAGAGTGCAAAAAAAGCATCAAAATAGATGTGGCAAATTAGCATTTTTACACTTCTGGTTCCTTTGTCTCAAAGTCAGTTGTTTTTTGGTTTGCTTTAAATGAGGTCTGTGGTCAAAAAATACATCAGTACATACCCACTTGTGAATTTTGAAGATTTTATGTGTCTTGAAAAAGGCGGTTGCTAACAAGTGGCTAATGAGCCTACAGAGCGTCATCACCCCAGACACGACTTTACAGCCTAATTGTGGTGGTGCAGTTGAAGTCATGTGACTGTGGTGTCGTTTATAGTTAAGCATTAGCTTTTTAGTCATGGCAATTGCATTTACGCTTCAAAAATCATAAAGCTGCATTTCTTTGTGAAGATTATCTTGCTGAGCAAATATGTAAGTATCTTAACTTTTGTTTGCCACGGAGCTTTTTTCTGCAATGATATAAAATCCAGTGGAAACATACCATTGGCATTGGCTTTTTGTAGAGGGAACCAGTGCAGTTTTAACTCTCGGGTTGCCTTACAAAAAAAACCCTGCAGCACTTTGTGAAGCTTGTTTATCAAAAAAATTTAAAAATGGGAGGATCCCTGGGACCCCCGTTAGAGGTCTGGGCTAAGTCCTGAATGTGTCCTCAAATTTTAGAAACATTCTGTGTGCACCTGACACCTGACTGGCTGCTGTGTCTGGAATTGCCTCTTGGTTAGATAAGTGAGGACAGCCAGTGTCGAAAGGTTGAAAACATGCAGTTTATTTATTACATATACTAATAAATTTTATTAATATTTGTTTGTTAACTGGCCCCTGTCATTTTTCAAAAGTGGCCCCCAGGCACAGCAAGTTGAGCAAAATCATATCATCAACACTTCTTTAATGGGTCACAACAGGTTGCAGACCAATTACTACAGTAGTGTTCATCAACCACCTATATACTGTACACTGTTATACAGCAGCTTTAACTTGTCAGAGCAGTGCCTGGTTTTTGTTACAGTTTGTCTGTTTTCCAGATGTTGCCATGATTTTTAAGACAGATTTTTGACATATTGAATAATTTCGCAGTCTTTTCCTTTTCCTGAGTTGTGACATTTTGCTTTGAAAGCTCATCCATCACAATGCTGATAACCAAACCTGTTTTACAGCTATAACAATACTAATTGGCACACGACCTGATATGACCTAACTCTGTAGATTTTTGCCAAGATACTTGAGAGTCTCTCTGTATCTCATGGACTGTGCAGAAATGTCTTGTGAGGGATCCTGTATATGCACAACAATGTATACTTCAGTGTTTAACTTGGTATCCTTACAATTCTTACAGTAGGACTCCTCTTACACCCTCACCTCCATAAGGCCCTCTTTGTGTATGATATCAGAGGGGTCCCTTGTGTAGATCTATAGAATTTGATTTCATAAAGATATGAGGAGGCGTTATTAGAGCTGTAGGATCTTAAGAGCAGGATACCAAGACTATATAGGTGGGCGATGTACGTTAGTGTAGTTAAAGAGACTGTATTTCCATATACTGTGCTGTGTCCCGGCCATGACAATGAAATCTTTAGTTGGACTCAAGTGAGTTCAGTGTTCTTTGTTTCATCACAATTGTAGTAAAGCCCTATGCTTGTACTTAAGATTGTGTCCTCCATTAACGTTTTGTGTGTACTGGTTTGTGCTCTGAAGCATTCCAGTGTATATTTCTGACTGTGGTGAATCTATTAATCAATATTCCTCTCTCTTCCTTTATCCACATAAAGAATGTCATGAACTGATCTATTATTTCCTCCTTGTCTTTCCCCTCCATCCCATCCCTCTATCCGACTCCTCTCTCCCCTCAGACAGGCAGACGGACAGACGGCAGGACGGATACACGGGTGGGGGCTGTGCTAGGCGGCTCGGCGGCAGGCTGGTGGAAGATGTCGTCAGGAGCCGGCGGGAGGGGTGGAAGGCGGCTCAGGGGGACAGCAAGCAGCGGTGGCGGAGGAGGGAGAGGAGGGGCAGGAGAAGCAGAGGAAGGCCCTGTGGGGATCCCGTTCCCTGAGCACAGCGCAGACATCCTGGGCAGCCTGAACAAGCAGCGGCTCAGCGGCCTGCTGTGCGATGTGCTCCTGGTTACTCAGGAACGGGAGTTCCCAGCTCACCGCTCCGTCCTGGCATCCTGCAGCACCTACTTCCACAAGCTCTTCACTTCAGGGGCCGCCGCTGACCAACAAAACATCTACAACATCGACTTTGTGGCGGCAGAGGCTCTGGGAGCGTTGCTGGACTTTGCCTACACAGCCACGTTGACAGTCAGTCACAGCAGTGTGGCTGACATCCTTGCCGCTGCACACCTCCTGGAAATCCCACCTGTCCAGGACGTCTGTACACACCTGCTGGACACCAAAGTGCTCTCCCCGCCGGTACAACACCATTATAGAACTAGAAGTGACATGTGTAAAAGTCAAGTTTAAGCTTTGATATTTGATCTGCTCTGCCTTAATGAATAAGTGACACCACTTAGCAACCCATTTTAAGTGTTGAATTAACTTATAGCAAAGCACAGAATAAATGTAATTCTCCTGCTTCAGCCACTTAACAAATGAGGTGTCCGTTCATCATACAACCCCCTTCATTAAATAGTCAGCATAGTCAAGCTTACATCATGGCCTTTATCAGGCTGTCTCACCATCCCAAACACACGCCCACAGTCTTTGAGTTCAGCACTTACTCATTCTGAGCCAATAACGTGCAGAAGGACAGCGTGCTATTTAGCCAGCTACAGACGCAGCATATCACAGCTACACTTCAACATGATCAAGCATAGCTGTGATATGCACATGCATGTGCTCATGGGTATAATGAACCCTTGGGTGTGCATCCAGGATACCCAGAGAGTGATATGTCTGTGCTGATAGGCCTTACAGATGTAGATTAAAGTCTGTCTTGTCAGCTTTCACTTCAGCTGATGTGCTTTGTAGAAAGATGGATGACGCATCTCCACTTGCCTCCACTGTACAAAAATGAAGTCAAAACATTAAGGATACAGCTGCTGCCATCTTGAGCTGGTGACATAATTTGGTCTGCCCAATAGCAATCTCCGCTCTGTCCAGTTCATCCAACCATTTGCAAACAGCACCAATGACTAGAACAAATAGCTTTTAATCATGACATCAAACTCCCCCTTTTATAGCATCAAATAACTAATTAAAACCAAAGTAATCAGAAAACCACACACTTGAACTAACATCAGCTTAACAAGAGCTACATAAAAAGAGAGAAACCATCTTTTGGAAAAATTTATTTGATGTGCACATTGATGTTTTAGATTGGCCTATGTCCCATCCACTAACATGGAGGGGGTGGAGTTTATGATCAGTACTGGAGCCAGCCACAAGGGGGCGATCCAGATGTCTGGGCTTCACTTTTAGGCAGCTGTCATGTCATACATATTTATTATACAGTCTGTGGTGCAAACTTTCCCTGACTTTGAATTTCTCCTGCACTCACTCTTTGTTCCCCGTCATGTTTCACTAGGCGGGCAGTGAGCGAAGAGATGAAGATGAAGATGAGGACGGGAAGGGCAGAGGAGGCAGGGAGCAGGGGAACCGGGTGCGGGCCCGGGAGTACCTGGAGTACTTCCAGAGAGGAGCGCACTGGAGCAGCAGCTGCAGCACGCCAGAGCTCAGGGACCTGCCCACACACCTGCACTTTAACCACGGTAATGGGGGGGCCCCCAGCAACGGGGCTCCTGCTGGCCCTGGTGAGTACTACTCCCCCCTCGCCCTCGCCTTGGCCCAGGCCCCCACACAGGAGCCAGAGGAAGAGGATGAGGATGAAGAGGAAGATGAGGACGGGGACGCGGTGCAGGGAAACGGAGCAAGCCTGGGGTCATCTTACTACCCTCCATCCCAAAACGGGCACTTCTACCTCCCCCCTGAGTCCAGGCTGGGGCAGGACACAGAGGTGGACGATGGAAGCAGGGAGGCAATGGCGAGGGAGAGGGGTTCCGCCAGCGCCCTCCTGCAGCAAATGATGGACTCCATCGAGAGGCAGAAGGAGCGCGCAACAACAGGGGAGGAACAGGGAGATGGGGATGACCCCGACATGGAATTTTACTTGAATTATTTTAACAGCACGCAGCACGAGGATCCAGCTTCGGCTGCTGTGACACAGGGAGTGCCGCCGCTCTGGTTATCTCGGGGCAGAACAGGCCAAGACAGAGTAGGCGGAGGAGGAGAGAGGGTGGTGGGGGAGCGAGGCAGCGGGGGTGGAGCGGGAGGAGGTGGAGGCGAGAGGAAGATGCGCTCTAAGGCCTTCCAGAAATGCCCCATATGCTCCAAGGTCATTCAAGGAGCAGGCAAGCTACCCCGCCACATCCGAACGCACACGGGGGAGAAACCTTATGAATGCGCCATCTGCAAAGTGCGCTTTACCAGGTAAGCCCAATTAATGAAGTGACTACCCCATGTCACATGTACTAATAGTCTTGGACTTGGCACTGTGGACAAATCGCCCAGCAGTGGGAAACACCACAAAGCCAAGAGCAGGAGCATTAGCGCTAACCAACTTAGCTTTGCATTAAGGAGGCAGCGCTGTTTGTGAATCTTAATGTTTACCTTCATCATGACCGAGTGTCCCTAACCAGGTTTTTTAATGTCACATTGAAACCAAATGCTAATCAAAATGGCATGCAGAGTGTTCCAGCTCTGAGAGAGGGGGTCAGGTGGTTATAAAAGTCTGTTTTATTGTGACTTGCCTCATAGCAAAGTCCTGGAATTTTAACATAGGGGTCCTATAAAAGAAGGCTGTGCCATGGCAGTGTTATCTAGTGGAGGGCTGCTATAAAGTATTCTGATACAGAGGGGGATTACAGGCTCTGGATGGTACTCTATGTGCGCCAATGCAGTAATTTGAACTTTTGATCTCTGGTTATGTTGATTATTGCCCACGGCAGAGTAGTTAACACCACCCCCCTCCTCTCTCTCTCTGTCGCTCCTTTACCTCTCTAATGAAATCTGCCATGTGCCGCTCAGATAAATGTGGCCACTCTACAGCAGAGGACTTGAGTGCACATGGTTTTCCCTGTATTTAGGAGTCCTGCCTTTTCCTTGAAATCATTCCTTTAATTAATTAATCAGTGGACTTGTGCTGGAAATAGATGCAGTAGGCTAGAAATACCCAGAACCACTGCTGGCATGGCAGGTAGGGAAGACCAATCTGAATTTGCCTTCTAGCTAAATTCGACCGGCAGTGGGAAGGGGGTATTGTAATCTTAATCCTGTTTGATCAGGGTTAAGAGTGTGCCTCGCACAGTAATAAATCACTCCTGTCCTTTAAATAATTCACCTCTGTCAGTGTGCCACTTTGTTCCAAGGCTTCAGCCTGTGTGTATGTGTGTGTGGGTGCATGCATGTGTTTCTCCTCACTTATATTTCTTTGTTAATTTTTATATTTGGGGCACAGTTTGAACACACCTGAATAGGTTGTGGTGGGTTGACTTATTTGTTTGTATGACAGCTAATCTACCCACATGGTGTGTGCGTATGTGTGTGTGTTTACATGTATGTGCGTGCTAAACAGAGTTGTCTTAACTACGCTTGTTTGTTTAGGAGCCCTCTGCCCTGGGTGCAGGAGGGTTAGACGATTAAAGAGCTCGGGAGCTAGAGAGATAGTAAGGGCTAAAGGGGGGAGGGAGGGACAAGAGTGAGATGAAGGCCAAGGCAGCCTAATAAAGTTCAGTGGGCGGCAGTGTACCATCGCAAAGTAAAAAATGTTCCAGGTTGTAATGAGATGACGTTAGATTTAGAGAAGTCATAGTTTGATCTTGTTTTGATTTGAGTTGTTGTATTTGGAAAGTGAGTCGTCCATATGAGCTGTTTGATTTGCTTAGAAGTGACAACTGCTCCTATCCAAAATTCAATCAAATTACATCTCGTGGGGGGAGAACTAGGCTGCAGGATTGATGACGTTTTACAGGCTCATTTATATTTCAGTGCTACTCAACGATAAAAGTCAAGTTTTCAAAATGATTTTGGAAGTGTACAGCTGCAGAAGACATTCAAGTCACTCATTTTCCATTCTCAAAGCACACGCGTTTAAGTAATCTGTCATTTGTTATGGTGTCACCCTCATCGAAAAGTTAACAGAAATCATAAAAATGCCAAATGACACAGTGAACGTTGAGCTTTCTTCAGTCGGCAGTTGTGCTCTTGTGTGTAATTACACAGATAAAGATGTAAAGTTTATGGCTTCTCCTCATTTGGCCTGGCTGTCCTCACAGAATAATCCCATTGGAAGAGATCCAAAAGATGGCTGTTTAATTGGAAATAAAACCATCCAAAGCATATTAAGCTGACCACTGTGCACAGGAGAATCAATTATATATTTTGAGTTAATTTGTGTTTGATAATACATGTTCTGATTTGTAACTGAGGCTGGAAAGAAAGACTGAAGCTGGCTGTGGGTGTACTAAGTGTATTCAGATATGTGTCAGCTGATTCTCTTGTGCATTTGAATTTTTTTTTGTCTGTGTATTCTGATATGATCTTGTTTATTTTTCTTTTTTTCCAGGCAGGACAAGCTCAAGGTTCATATGCGTAAGCATACAGGAGAGAAGCCTTACCTGTGTACGCAATGTGGAGCCGCCTTTGCTCACAACTACGACCTGAAGAACCACATGCGCGTACACACCGGCCTGCGCCCCTATCAGTGCTCAAGCTGCTTTAAGACTTTCGTGCGCTCGGATCACCTGCACCGCCACCTTAAGAAGGACGGCTGCAACGGCATCCCCTCTCGTCGGGGCCGAAAGCCTCGGGTGCGAGAGCCGGGGCTCCTCGACGCCCCCCTGGGCCTGCTGAGCCCCAGCTCTGACACAGGCCCTGGGCCTCGCACCATCAGGGGACGGCGGCGCTCGGAGGCATCCTCAGCAGCAGAGGTGGAGGGGGCTGCCGGAGCCCATGCACACAGTCCTCAGCTGCAGGAGCTGGCGGGGGAGGCAGGGCCCTGAGACTGCAGGGGCGACAAGGACACTGCTGGACACCATAGTCACTCTGCACCGCCTGTGAGACAGGCCAGTGAACAGAGAGGAGAAAAAACATGCAAAGGCAAACTTTAAAAAAAACAAAACAACTAACTATTCCTCTATAAACCAAATCAGGGTGTCACAAAAAAATCTAATCTTTATATTTCTTTCTCCTTTTACTTTAGGAAATGGAGTAGACATGCAAGCACTTGAGTCGGTTTATCTGTTTAAAGAGCAAAGAACGCTTCAAATCATGCACCCATGACGTCCACTTTCTGGGCCATTTCTTTCTTTATAATGTTAAGGGTTTTATACATTGGCATATGTGCTTAGGCAAACGTATGATAGATACAAAGAAACTCAAAGCAACTATGCAGTTGATTTAGATTTTTATTGGTTTTGTCCTCACAGCCTTCAAGCTCTAAGCAAGGTGTCTATCAAGCACCTTCTGGCTGCTGTACGGGTGAAGCGAGGACAAATCCTCCCAGTGAAAACAACTCTTTTTCTATTCTTTTGCAGGTCTGAAATGTACAGTTACCATAGAAACACCATTGCCACAATATGGCATATGCAAGGAAAACTCACCACAATTTTGATGCAACAGTTTTTTCTCTCTAAATGTTCCAGAAAGAATCAGACAAGGGTTTGATTGAAGTGGTACTTACTCTATAAAATGCATTTTAAGAATCTATGGTTTGTCTTATTGAGAAAAAAAAAACAAATTCATGTAGAGTCAAATCCACTTTAACGGGGGCTCTTCAATTGCAGGACTAGGGAATATGAGGGGTGGAGGGTTTGTGTTTCTAAAGCACTACCATTGTCAATGTATCTGTTGGCTTGACTACGTTGCCTCTTATCCCTCACGACCCTGCAATTTCAGCATTTCTGTTTTCCCTTTTGATTTTGTCTTAATTTTTTTTTGTCGTTCCTTTTTGTTGACTGCTTCGGGTACTTGACACTTTATAATTGTATACATGTATATACAGCAGGTGGTGATATGACATTAGTCCCCTCTTAATGCTGAGGTGTACTTACCAATCGGGTTTTTTCCTCTTAGGCTTGATGTCATATTTCTCACAGAGTGAAGCTCGTGGGTGAATGAAAAAAACCTGTATGAATGTTTGATGACAAAAAAAAAAAAAGCATTGAGTCACCCATTTTGTCCTAAACTTAACACTTGACTTGTATAGTTCCTGCCCAAAGGATGAGGAGGTAGAATGAATGAATGTGCTTAACTTTGTGCAGTTTTTTCGGATTCTGTCCTTGTGTGACAAGGCGCGGGTAGCATTTAACCAACCGCAGGTTAAAGGAATGGCAGGGAGCCCGAGTGAGAGAATGACAAAGAGTACGAAGAAGAGATAGATGAGCACCTTTTTTCTATATTTGCACAGCTTTACTAAAGATATCCAACAGAGCGAGAGAGAGAGGTATATTTAAAGGAAGTGGGCTGGTGTTGGGGAGGGAGTGAGAGGAGGTTTATGTATCATGCTTATTCCAATCTTTTTTGCCCTAGGGACCACACAACCGTGAGGCAACCTGTATGATGAAGAGAGCAATAAATACCTGTCCAAGTTGGGAGGCCAAATAGGAGCGCAGCTGCAGCTGGTTGATGGGGGAGGGGAGCAAGGGAAGGGGAGGGGGATCTCACAATGTCTGTTGCATTCCAAAAAATAATCTCCCCCAGCTCAGCCACGTTTCCAGGCAGGAGGGGATCAAATCAGGCCTTTTCTCTCCCTCGCTCTCCCTCTGTAGTCCTCTAATGCCCCCGAACTAGCCTGGAGGGGATATTATTATATTAGAGCCTGGTGTTACTGTGGGTAGGACGCCTGGTGCTGGCAGTTTAGTGTGTGAGTGTGTTTATATGTATGTGTGTTTGTGTACATGTGTGTGTGCGTGGCAGCCAGGGTCGCTCTGGCCACATCATCACTGAGTGAGTCAGCCGCAGCCTGTTCAAACATGCACCCTGAGCTGCCAGCCCCAATGCACTTTCTCTGTCTCACACACATGCTCACACACACATAAACACACACACACTCCACTCACTGGGTCCAGGTATCCTGTAGAGAATGGGAAAACACCAGGGCTGACATATCTGTTTGACTATTGTAAGTGACTCCATACATCTGGATTTGTTAGTCTTAAAATATCCAAGTTATGTTATTGTACTCCAAATTCAATGCTATTTTCCAAAGGAGCACATCGAGCCTTTGAGTCAGGAAGAGAACATGCATGTGATTTAGAGCCCCCCCCCCCCTCCCCCCCTGTAATTTCTGCAGTGGTGCTGTAGTTCAACTATCAGTCCTTTGCACCTTAATTGGAAAGAGACAGGTTATGAATGCACTTTGTTACTGAGGAGGGCACTTTTGTCAGCGAAACGGGTACTTTGAAACAAACCAGTTGCAAATGAGATCAGTCCTTTCTTCTGTCCACGGCGGTGAAGTCGAGCTCCTTCACTGGTTTTGTTCAGGTTTTGACGACAAGCTGCCAAAAAAAACACACGTTCAGATCTCTCAAAGAGACGCCGGGTAGGCTCGGATACAAACACGTTGGGTTGTGTGACCTTAAGAGGAGACACAAATAATCCATGTAACTGATTGCACTTGAAATGTCGTGAGTTGTCTTTATGTCTTAATGCAAAGGAAGGGGCTGGAAGGAGGTGGCAAACAAAGAAGAAAGGACACTGTGTGCGTGTATGCATGCATACTTTTTTTTTTCCGTGTCGTGCATGTGCACAAGCATGTGTCGTTGGCTGGCAGGCTGGAGGGTCTCAGGACAAGCTTGGATAAACAAACTTTGTGTCGGCCCCATCTGTTCACCAGCTACTCTCCTAACTACACGTGTTCTCTGAGGAACCGCAGTGATAATAGGTCCACGGTACCGCAGAAGCAAAAATACCGTATTGTTGAACAACTCATTGGACAGTTGCTTGTTTACTTCATGGCTCTCTTGGTGCAGATTTGCATAACTCTTTGTTTACCCTGGTTGGTCATTGTCAGGGGTTGGCTAGGTCTTGGGAGTTTTAGTTTCTATTTTTGCTCCTCTGTTATGACAGAGATGGGGTTTATTAATGCACAGTTCGACTCCCACAGGCAGACCAATGCAGGCTGTGATCTTTATGTTGTGGTATGTTGGTGTGGACCGCTTAAACCAATTTTGTCTTGATGTGGCAGGAGGTGAAACCTGTTAGCCACCTTAAATATGTTTCTTTGGACCTTTGATATTTCCCCAAAAGTCTTATGTTGTTTGTTGATTAACCAAAGCTTTTTTGCCCTCGATCTTAGTCTGCTGTCTACGAGAGATATTTAAAGTTTGTCTATAATTTATCCAGACTGGGCCTCCCTGACTACGCCACACACAGATGCCCTCCTCTTGAATACATATGCAGAAATGTGTGTGAAATCATACAGATATTTACTTGAGTTTGCTTTCTCTCGCTCTTTGTATCCTTGTGGACGATAGAATCAGAGGTTTAAGGATGTATAGTTTTTTTGTCTGTCTACACTTGTTTTTTTTTTCTTAAAATAACGTGTTGTGCTACATTTTTTTCTAACAATTTTACATGGCTGTGCGTGTGTGTGCGTATGTGTGTGTGCGTGTGTGTGTGTGGGTTGGGGTCATGGTTTTGGGTTGCTGTGCCAGGAGGGTGGGGTAAATGGGTGCTTGGGTGGGGTTATGGATATAAAGCCTGATAGCACTGGAAATGGTGCTTTAGCTGAGAGAGCAAACGTTTGCACTAATGTTAAATGTCCTTGTCCTGCTTATGGGAGAAGGGCAGGAGACCTCAGAAAGGCCTGCAAGTTTCCATGAGCACAGAGCAGTGTGGTTAATACTCAACGGTCTCACAACGAGTCCATCCAACCCCTCCGTAGAAATAATCATGTACAGTATATTAAGAAATATACAGACGTCCAACTACAACGACAAATACCAAAGGAGAAGAAATGGCTTGCATTCAAGTCATTGGACATTTTAAGCTACCAATCTCATGTTGGATTAATAGAGTTTTATTGTTGAATCTGAAGGCTCTTAAAAAGAGAACTTTTAATGGACACTAGATGTGTGATGACAGCAAATCATATTTGCTCTTTATATTAAGAAATATTCCAAATATACAACATTTAGACACTTAGAAAGTAGCAAAGCCTCTCCGAAAACATTTGAAATATTTGAGTTGGTCTGATGGCTGAGATGTTCTGTGTGCAGGTGCCAGAGATATCGAATCCAGTTCTTTTTAAAAAATTTGAGATTGGATTGTATCAGCATTTGTCTCATGAAGTTGAAATGATTATGAAAAACATTGTTATTGTTGAACACTGTTATTTTGACCATTGCTAAACTGGATGATTTCAGTTTCTGAAAAGATTTAAATGTTCTCGAGCTGAAGCAGACTGGGACTCTGTGGCCTTGTCTGAGCAGCACTAAGCTTTTTTTGTTTTTCTTTTCTTTTTTTTTATTGTTTCCAGACAGTTGTATTTTGCAGTGTGGGGCCGAGGCTCACTCCCACCAGGTGGACAATGCATCGAGGGCCACAGTGTGCCTTACGTGGGCAGGGACTGACAAAACTCCCTACTTCTTTGTCTGTTTTTTTCCTTCCCATATTTAAAAAAAAAAAAAAAAAATTCAAAAGCTGATTGGCTTGTTACTGAAATTAGTCACTCATCTGTTTAAGCTTTACTTGAATTAATTTATAACAATGTTTCCGTACAAGCCACCACTTTAGAGCTTTGCCTCTACGGTTCCACAACTGGTGCGTCCCCAGCCTCAGCCCCACACCAAGGTTACTCTGACACAGGCTACACTGAGACAGTCTCAGAACTTCATTGCAAGTGTTTTTCCAAATTGACCTTGATATGTTTTTACCCTGTGCTGTTATCAAAGAGTTTCGGTGAATCTATCTGAGAAGGCCATAAAACAAAGACGACCAACAACGATGATAACAATTATTATAACTGTAAATAATCAAGCGAAGCAGGACGAGGTGACTGTTAATATTGAGATTGCAGACGGGGGACTATTTGCTTTGCTTCGTCATTTTCCCGCACACCTGATTTTTTTTCGTGTGTGTTTTCCATCAGGCTCTTGGTGCACAGCAAGCTGAGCGCAGCATATGCAGTATGGCACAATGCGCAGCGTGGCTCTGGCACTTACACAGACAGCCCTGGGTCCTTCAGAGAGGCAGGCTGCTGTCTGTTGGCTGCTCTCAGCCAAGTGGGGACAGTTTGCACTTGGAGTCTCCGTCAGTCTCTGGGGATGCAAAGGTTGGCATACAGGGAGGAGGATTAAATACGGGTGGTAGGGGAAAGCTGGATGTTGTTTTT